TTTCTTTCTCTTCTTTCTCTTTCTTTCTTTCTTTCTTTCTTTCTTTCTTTCTTCTTTCTTTCTTTCTTTCTTTCTTTCTTTCTTTCTTTCTTCCTTCCTTCCTTCCTTCCTCCCTCCCTTCCTTCCTTCCTTCCTTCCCTTTCCTCTCTCTCTTTTTTTTTCATTGTGCAAAATAAAAATGTCCAGCTTGAGAAAATTGATATGCTAAAAAGAACTGCATAGCTTTTGCTGTCACACACACTTGGATTCTGTGCCCACTCGGTCACCTATGTAGCTTTAGATAAGGTTCTTACCTGATCTGTGACTCACTTTCTCATCTGAAAAATAGGAATTTTATTTCCTATTTCCCAGAATCATATAGCTAGTTAGTGAAGGAATAAAGATTCAAATCCTTTCAGCCTTAAATCACACCTGGCTCTCCCCAGCTGCTGTTAGAACTAATTCAGATAATCTATTGGAGTCCTCATGCAGCTGCTCTGTCCTGACTTCTCCTGCTCAGGGAAACTAGAGGGCCACCTCCATCTAAAAAGATAAATAAGTGCTAAAGAGAGTTGTTAGAGGCCTTGAATATCAAGACAAGGCTTTCTCAAGCTCTAAGCAGTTACATTAAACCGGCACTGAAACTGAGGTAACAGCAGAGTGTGACTTGGGATGGTAGGAATGGTTTTGCATCTGCAAAAAGCCACCTGTGATGTACCTACTTCTGAGCCAGTCTCTTATGAACAGGGAGAGTAGGTGATAATTTTTTGATGGATGTCTAGAAAGGCAGTCTCTTCTGGAATAATAGTGCTCACCTGAAACTGGGGCCAATAGGAAACATTTCGAAGCACATACCTGTCCAACCGGGTAAGAAGCAAATGCTCCCCTCCCAATGAGCAGGTAGAGAACTTTCCCCACCCACGGAGCCCGTTCTGGAATGTTGCAGGTGCACTCATGGGTTAGCGATGATATTCTCCAGTTCCCATGTGTCTTCCCTGCGGGTCTAAGAAGAGGCTGGTAAACTTATCTGGGGAACATGATGATGTGGTATGAATTGAGAGCCTGCAGTTTGCTATATGCTGACCTTCCTATTTCTGCTTTTCTTATTTAAATGTTATAAGGCCCACAGACTTACAAAACAAACTGCAAGAAGTCAAACAGAGATCGATTTACTGT